GAGAGGGAGCGGGGGGGAGAGAGAGAGAGCTTGGCTTTGTGTTCGATCTGGATCCTGTTTGTCAGTCAGGACAACCACTTCCACATTCCCCAGGAAACACACACAGACATACGCATGTTCTCTGTATTTATGTGCAAAAATCACATCCGACGCATCCAATACGTGCAACAGGTTTCAAAACATGGTTTTGATGTATCTCGATATTAAACGCATTGATTCCTGCTGATGAGACAAATAATATCTCAAATATAGTTTAAATTTGTAGAAAGTCTCAGTCATTTTCTACAACAGCTGGACAATGTAGTTTTTTTGATCATATGTTACTCAAACACTGGTAAATAGTGTGTTTTTTGCGGGACTACATTCACCTGTGGATTAATACACATTTGGTGCTTTAGGGAGTTTCCACAGCAGCATGGTGGCTCACTGAAGTGTTTTTAGTAGTTTCAAACAATGATAGAGATCAATGGCACAAAGGGTTCAATATACTTAAGGTTTGGGATGCACACAGACAATATACTTCACTGTTGATGTATAAATCTTTTCGAGGGATTTATCGATAAGAATAAAAACATAGAATATAATAATAAATTGTCTGATAATAGCATATATACTCATATATATTCTGTATCACTTTGTTCCGACTCTTCCTTGAAGCTGAATGCTGTTTAGAGAAATATTCAAACACCATAACTTCATTGCTGCATCTCACCGTCAAATGAAAGCATTCTAGACGCCTTTTGAATCATTTTATTCAAATTTGAATCTGTGGGTTTGGACAAAGATGGGTCTGTACTGACCAGCATGTCATCACTGAGGTTTAAGGGGTTAAAGACAGTTCAGTGAGAGATGTTTTTTTTTTTATCCTTTGTAAACCGAGCATGTTGTGAGACTCTTATAGGCCGACAGACGGATTAATGCTCCGTACTGTGGCAGTGTTTTATTCACTGTGAGCTGCGATTTTTCCACTTCCATTTCCTACAGTTCACTCCACATGAAAGCTTTTTGTTACCAAAGCGACCCCGAACAAATGCACCGATGTCAGCAGTGACACTGCCGCAGGAGCAAGACGGCAGAAACAATCTTTTGGAGACTCTGACTGTGTTCAGTCATTGTTCTCGGTGACAAGACAAAGTTTGTGATCTCCTCTCTGTCTGTAATCTTGAGAGCATTTCCATAAATCCCAGCATGCTACTCAACATAAGGCCTCCCAGGCAGCCAAAGATCATCAACTGACTCATACACCACCCACTGAGAGCTTTTTGATTGTCTGACGAAAAAAGATTGTTTTCCACTTCATTTTCATTTTGGTGATTCGGCTTTTGCCAAATGTTGGCATGAACACATTTATTTTATTTTTTAAAGATTATAAACACTGAAAACTGTGTATAGCTGTACGTTACAGCCATAAAGGAAGAAACATAATCCAGTTTAGATTTCTTTACGTAGGTATGGATGCTTGTGTCTGTGTCGATGTGAATCCAGAGAGCACTTTCTGTTGCTCCAATGCAAATGGCTGTGTGCTTATTTGCATATATTAACAACAATGTGCCTATTGTTTCGGGGAAGCCTGCCGGTGAGAGGGCTCCAATTCATTTAGCCGGTCACAGGTGGAGGAAATTTAGATTGTTTTAGCAGCGGCAGTGATCGTTGTGATCAGCAACATTCACAATATGTAATTGGATTCCTTCACTACGCATGTGTCTGGTGTTTTTGTCTTCTCACACTTTTTTTGTCTCTTCGGTTAAACAGGAAGTTTGAGTGACGTTTAAGTCACATGCTTCGCTAATTTATTCACTAAGTCTGTTCCCATTGATACACCAACTTCTCCACCTCAGCCATGGAAGAATTAAACGTTGTAACTATCTTTGAATTTCTGGTATTATGCAACCGCGAGGTGAAAATTTTAGTTTTTAATGCGCAAATTGAAAATGAGCATTAAAAACTGGTGGATTTCAAATGCAGTTACAATGAATGAGATATAGAAGTTACCCAGATGTAACTCCAGTTCTATGAGTATTTTTTATTTTATTTTATTTTATTTTATTTTATTTATTTTATTTATTTTATTTATTTTATTTATTTTATT